TTAGAATAGGATGATATGATATATATTATTTTTTCTAAAGTAATAATATTGTGACTGTGAGGAATAGGAATCTAGGCAAGCGTGTATTGAGCGTCGGGTGAATCCTTGCTGATGCGAAAGGAACATAAAACGTAAATTTGTTTGAAAGACTAGGCATGCTTACCTCAGCCAGTGCACCTGTTGCTACTTTTATGAGTCTGCAATTTCATGGTGTCAGTCATTTGTCTCCGATTAACCGCTATGGGCATGATTAACATAAAACATGCGTTCCAAAACCGCAAGAGAATGTTATTTCCTTCAGCTTATCGTGGGGACTATTTATTTTTATTTTTCGCTATAGCATCCTCTTTCCGGCTGTATCTCTCGGATCAAGTCGAACTATGAAAAACCATTGTCATTTTTGAAGCAAATACAAATAGGCTTGTTTAACCAACCATTTTCTTTTCTCTAGGTGTATTCTCTAATACTCAGAACACCTACACGGTTGTTTGGTGTTGCAGGCAAACTTGAGTAACTAAGCCAGAAAGTTAATAGCATCTCTGTTGAATGCAAATTTTATCTCGAAATAAGCTGGATCAGTTGCAAAAGGCTGTTCCATAATTGTCAACTCTTGGATGTTGCCATACTTTTCAATTGTTAAAAACTTGATTTGCTAATTGCCTGATATACGAAATTGTAGTTTTCGTAGGAATTTAATATTTTTTTACAATTATGCGGCAATCTTTGTCTGATTGAGCAGCTTTTCGTCATCTAGCAAATTACAGATGAACTTTTTTTTGAATTCCAAATGACTAGTGGTCAATAAATTTTTCTTCTCCTTGTTACATTCCAAATCCTTTTTTTAAATATTAGTCACTTTCGCTACATAGATCTATCGGGTAGGTTGTTCTGCAACAACTACGATGACTCGGTACTGTGTAATGACACCATGGGCACAAATCTATAAATTACTTTAGTCGTGCTGATTTCATTTTCAATGATTTACTAAGCAGTCGGACAGCTTTTTAGATAACAAATCTAAATGCTTTTTGCTTAGAATGTATTTCAATGTACG